GCATTATCTTATAGAAAGAGAGCATCACAGGCCTCAAAGACAAGACACAGACACAAGCCTTAACACATAAGAAATGTAATGGTATCTGTCTGCATTACCAGAATGAACAAGAAGTGACAAGGATAAGAACCCAATGGCAACTCATAGCAGCAGTCAGGCTCATACGATGATGACAAATGCAAGCTGGCAACATTGTTTCTTCTTGGTATCTCCACACATAGATACATCCATGATAATGCTGTAGAACCAATATTCATCTGAACAGATGTTGAAGTAGCTTTCTTATGTCCAGTGTCATTATTTGTTACACCAATCCATGCACATCTGCTTCTGCAGTATCAGGAGAAATCACAACAAGCCCTGGGCCAAGAATTTGGTTCATGATCATTGTCATCCTGCTCATGAACCAAATTCTTGGCCCAGGGCATGAGTCATGGCTGTACGATCTTGCAAGAACAACATGTCTGTCTTCTAAGGTGTTAGTGGCCCAGGGCTGCTGATATTCTGCATAGCATTCAGTATAGCCATTCTGGACTTATCCAATCCATACATGAATAGTAACATTGCATAATGCAATTATAATAATATAATAAAATTATTATAATTAATATTACATAATGCAATTATAATATACAATAGTAAAATAATAATATTGCATACTGCAGTCTTGATAGATGATAATCCTGCTGCAATTGAATTCTGGCATGTGGTGATAGGAGTTTCTTCTCATGAGACATAACATGATCTTTACACAAACAACTAACTTTCAAATTTGATTTCCAGATGAGAAAACTGCTGTGCAATTTTCTCACTTATACACATTGTAAATGGCACTACTCTTATCTGCTATATGACGTGCTGGGATGCTAATCCTTTGCATATCCCAGTATGTTATACACTGCCCAAGAAAAAGGGGGGAGAGTTCTATATCTCCCGTTATACTTAGCCGATTGACGAAATTCAGCTTGTGTTTTTCCTGTCTCGAAAGCACCACTTAAAATATGTATTAGATTTATGTATAGAATTATTCTGATATAGGTATTTTTACACAAAATCAGACTTTTTCTGAAATGACATGCCAATGTTTGATTCTACAACTCAAATAATGCCAAACTGCCAAGTTTTGTAAAAATCACACATGCAGTTTTTAAAAAACTAGCTCTCAAAATTTTAGCTCCTCAATGTTAATTTGAATATATATTTTATTAATATCATCACATTTTTTAAACTACCTTGAGTCTTCTTCCAGAATTTCAAAATTCTTGGGCTTAAAACTCCAAACTGATCACACATTTTTTATGATTTTTTTTAATATTTTGCATTTTTTAATATATTTTATAATTTTTTTTTTTAAAAAAAAAAAATCGTATTATAACCTGTACATCTTACGTATAATATATTCAGGTGGATTCCTAGTGACTTTTTCCCCCGCTCGTTCAATGCAAAAAAGGAAAAGAAATAGTTGCATAATTAAAAGTTCCCAGTGAATTATCTTGGCTTAATGAAAATTGTTTTAATTAAATTTAAATTTCACCATTAATGTCTCACCAAAAATTACAAATTAATATTTCGCATACTTGAGTCATATAATCAAAATTAAAAAAAATGGCAATCGTTCAAAAAGTCCAATTTGTGTCAAAATACCTATATTAGAACAATGTCATATATAAATCTAATACATATCCTAAGTCATGCTTTCTTGACATGAAAAACGAAATTTGAATTTCATCAAGGCAAACTTCATGTTTATTGCCTACCCCCTTCATGGCACAGCAATACATTGATCTATGGTCAGCAGGGTAATATGTAGTTTAAAAGTCTTATTCTGAAGGATTTCTAGTGATGCATATCAAGTAACAAACACAATTCTATTTAAATTATAGATTTTCTAGCAAGAGACAGTTAGAGTATAAGATGTCCTTACATTTGAAGAAAAATCAAGTTCATACTAAGCCATACCAACACTTGCATGTTGTTATCAATAAAAATATTCTAAATTTTTAGTATTAATCCAAATTTTTTAAAAATTACTAATTAACATTAGCAAGTATAGTTTTATAGCAGGCATACTTTTCTTAACTGGTCAATTAAAAGCATTTTTGGATGAAGTTCATTTTTATTGCTTTTCTGGCCTATCAGTGGGTGAGTGGTAAAAGGTCACTGAGAGTTTGACCTGGGCTTGATTCTAGGTAAATGGGATCATGGTTTATACCATGTGTAATAGGAACATAAAGAAATTTCCCTTGGAAAATCCTCCATGAAGGAATCCCTCTCCTTAGTCAGATAGCCCTCCCATGCTTTGCCATAATGAAATAAAACCAAACCAAAACTTAACTGTTTTCTTTAAAAAGTAAGTTCTCATTCAGTATATTTTCTCTTAAAAGTATGCTTCCTTCTTTATTAGAATGCTATACTTCTATTTAAATTTTACATTAAAAATTTTCTAAATTATTAAGTCATACAATCCACAGATTAATGAATCTGAAGGAAGATCCACCTTGGGATCATTACTTTTCATTCGATCATGTTATCTTAGATAAAGGTGTTTTTTTTTTTTTTTTTTTAAATTAAAAAGCTTTTATCATATATTAAAACTAACAAAAATCTTTTACACAGCCCGTTCAGTTCCTTACGAGCTCTTTGTTTAATATTTTAGCTGTTATATTAACCACATTCATAGCAATCAGATCAAATTAGCAGGTACATCAAACTGTAAATACTTCTACTGGTGCATGAAGATGTAAAGTTTTTTCATTTTTATAAAATATTGTGACATGTTTTGCGCCGATGAAAAAAATTATGAAGATAACACTTAAAACTCCTTAAATGAAGAAAAAAAATATAGGTACTCTTCGGGGGGAAGTGAAATCACCCACTGCTTAGCAGTTTTTAAGATTGCAACAATTTCATATCCATGTACCATCGCCTATTTTCACTTAATTTTCACTTGACATCTCGGCTGTGCCTCCCTTGACTTTGTCCATGTGCACATTGATCTATTTTCAAAATCAAAAAATTCACAAAATCCCAGTTTTCTTACTCTGTAAAAAGCACTAAATAAACTGCCAATAAGTAGGTGATTCTGCCTCACCCTCTTCTGTATGGGGATCGGATTCAAAATGTATGTTGATGCACTGTTATATAGTATGGCATATATATATGCATATGTATGCATCATATTGAACACAGACATTTATACATTCATACATTTCTGAATCCCGTCCTTATAACAGAATAATACCAATATATTCAGTCAGACTTTTGAAATTCAATATAATGGTAATCGCCTAATATTCTACGACAGTCAAAGTCATTAATTCGGATGTCCAAATCAGATGATCTATATTCGGACCTTAACTACAATTTCTCACATGCGTACGTTTAGCATCCCAAGTTTGTGGCTTTGAGGCGCATATGCCTTTACGCATGCGCATTTTGTTTGCGCATATGCATTTACACATCATAATACCTTTATGCAACATTTAATTATGACGGATGGTATAAGCTAGCTAAAGATGTATTCATAAATGTTGCAATTGCTTGTCCTTAATCTTCGAATTGGATCGACTTATTATTTTTGAATCGTAGAGCATTTATAAAATAAGCTTGAACTTTCGATATTCAAAACGAATTTCGATTCGGAGCTGCCAAAGGATCTACAAGTAAAACCTGTTTCATGTCCTCAAACAAATTGGAATGCTTGCAAAAATGGAGAAAGCATATCCTTTGTTTTTTCTAACCTGCTGAAATCTGTGATCAATTTATGCGGATCTGCGGGTGGGGGCGAACGTCGCGCGCACAATGACTGGAATTATCTGTCAGCACTACCTTATTTTAGGCAGAGTTTTTTATTTATTTGGCTTATAATTCCTTCAATGTCGTTTTATCTCGATACTCCCTCTTTGATAGGATTAATCAATCTCATCATATAAACACATGAATCACTCAAATTTTTCTGTGCAATTTCTAATTTCGACTATGCTATTATGCTTTCCTCTGCGCACTTGAAAGAAAGTTATAACGTAAACAAATTCAGAAATACGGTTTCAATTTTTAATTTTATAATTTCTGCATGCCATCTGCCGATTTAACTGATGACTATAAGCTGGAAAACCCATAACCGAATTGCCGAATCCCGACGAGTCCGGATTAAAGACTTTTGACTGTACTGGTATGCTTATCTAGCTCTGGAAGAATACTGCAATTTAAATTAAATATTAACAATAAACATGACCTTAAATTAACTGCTTCGAATACGGCTTACATATGAAAAGTGTCCACAAATACAGTGTATTAAAAAGCATTATAGTACCCCTCATACTTATCGAAATTAGTGCTTTGGATTCTTTGGGCTGATTTTTAATACGGTTTATAAACTACATGTGACAGAAAAACGGCATAACTTTTCAAAAAAGAAAGATAATGAGCATTAGCTAAAAATATGCAAGCATTTTACCAAGCAAACTAACAACCGGTATAATACAGACACACATCAATAATTTTTCAAATTTATTTTATCATGAACTACAGTAAAAGAAAATTATATCTGGATATAAGAATTAAGGAAAAAAACAATAGTATGCATAATAACAATAATAATAGTTCACTTACTTGACTTGCTGTAGTTGGTGACATTTTGTTATTTAACTTGAATTTTTTTAATAAGATCTAATTTAAAATATTTAAAAGCATATTTTGTTTTATGTTTTTGTTATATTTTGTTATTTAAAAGCATATTTGTTTCCAGAGGTATTTGATTTTTGAATCTGATCATAATGTTTTCGCAATAATTGATGCATTTTGTTGTCAGCGTGGTTAACAGTTATGACATTATTAATTTCTTATTAACCATAATCTCTTCTAAAAGTTACATAACTGTAAAATGTAATTATATAAATGAAATTATATTGATAATAGTTAAAGTATGCTATATACTGCAAATACAATATTATTGAATAATTATTAAAGCGGTGTGAAACGTGTTCACAAAGGAAAATGCAACTTGTCAGAAATAAAGAATAACTTCTACTTCAGGGTTAACGTCTGAAATCTGTAAATAAGCAAGCATGGTTGAAACTGAAGGTATGATTTTCGGATTTATTATTAATATATATTTCTCAAAATTTATGAGCACATACGATTTGATATAATAATAATAAAATCGTGTAAAATAAATTTTTAAAATATTCTAATCATAATGTAGTAGCTTAAAATATAAACGTTATTTATATAACAATACTGTAGATCTCCAGTTATACAAAGCCCACCAGCGGCCGAGCGGTAAAGACGCTGAACAATGGTAGTTCGGTCTGAGGTTTGAATCCCGCGAACGGGCTGGCTGCATGGGCGTTTTCGTGGTTTTCCCCTTGTGTAACGTGTATACGAGCCAGTTTCCCTTAGAAAGTCCTCCACCAAAGGCATCCCTCCCTTTAGGCAGATAGCCCTCGTGTGCTTTGCCATAATTAAGTACACCAACACCAACACCAGTTATACAAATTAAAGTACATAAAAGTAAAATAGTAAATTATTTATTACTAAGGAGAAATATTAATTTAGATGAATGTGTGTGAAATGCTTTTTTTGCTAACGATGAAAGGCAGTTTATCATAAGCCGTAAAAGTGATCATCTCAAGTGTCAGAGAATAATATTGCAGCCCACAATATCTTTTCAGAAATACTGGTCACTTCCAGAGGTAATCACCACAAAAGAATTCACTGTGCAGATTCCCATTATGAGAGCAACATATTTTTGCATTTAACTTTTATTAGGATATTATTAAGGCTCACTGTACCACTGAAGTCCAAGAGCCTGTGTGCCGTGCTGCTGGGCGAAGAAATCTTAGAAATTTAGGAAATCCAATATTGCACCAGGCATAAAAGTTCATAATTCTAGCCTTGCTATCAGATAGTTTAAAATTTCACACGTGCTGAGACATTATAGCTCTTCAGCAAGTGAAATTTTTCTGCTTTTCATTTTGAAATGTTTAATATGCACGCTATTTTCAATCTTCTATCTAGTGGGGATTGGTGAAATGGCAGGACAAAAAGCACAGTACTATGTCTTATGATCATCGGAAGTCCTACCTAGCAAAGTTTATGTAAGGCATCATATCAATCATGAGTAATATCAATCATTAGAAGTTTGAGGCATTATTAATAAGAGTTGCTGAAGTGTGACAACTGCTATAAAGTGTCTTTTTAAAATGAATTTAGGATATTTTTCTGTGTAATGTTTACAACCATTGCGGTTGATCTTTACAATATGGTAACTGGTAGTTTGGCGACATTTTGGAGGCGATAAAGGTTACTACCTGGGACTTTGGTAATAATGTGAGCAGTACTCAGTTCCTCTTACGCATTATTTTGTGTGAGGGAAATGAGAGATCTGGGATATGTCATGTGAATTAATGGACGAATTACGTTCTTAATCGGAAAAGGGGGGAAATCGGGAAAAAATCTGAAATTTTGTATTTGGCTTTATTCTGTGTTTGGTGAAACATTTCGTGAATTTTGGATCCCATGGCCGTCTAAGTGATTCGAATGGGTATTTATGTATGTTAATTTAATGTATGTCTCATTTATATTTTAAGTAGTGTTTTTGAATTTATTAATTTAATTAAAGATAGTTATTTTGTGAATTTTATGTTTGTAGGAAATTTGGTATACGTTTTAGTTGAAGTAATGTGCATGAAATAATTTAAATATTGATACTAAGTATTTGTAATGCTTGCGGTATGATTCGTTGGTGCGTGTATATGTAATAGATGATTAGGTAAAAGTTTTTGGATATTTTATTTCTTTTTTGTGGAAATGTTCATTTTGAGGGATACACGGTATTTCATATATGTTTCTTTTTACCGGGTTAAAGAGGAGAAAATTGTATGTATTTTCGTGAAATTTTTCTAATTTATGAAAAAAGCAGTGCATGGATAAGTGAGAGTGTGCAATGCCATTTTTGTGCAATTCTGGGATGTTTTTTAAGTAAAAAGTCGGCGTGTACATGGTTTTAGTTTATGTTTATTTTTTATTTTGTGAGTAAATTTGGTAATCGTAAGGTAAGTAAATATGGTATTGGAGGTGCACTTTTTCCGAATTTTGCAGTGAATATTTGTCATGATTAAGCATTTTTGTTTCTGGGATAAGTAAAAAAGTTGTACTTAGCTATTGTGCACTTGCAGTGAATATCATGGCTAGATAGATTTGGGCAGAAGTGTTGTAGATAAAAAGAAAAGAACATGTCTTTACTTACGTGAGACAAAATGGCACGGGAAAAAAAAATAGAGGTTGCTGTAGGAGAGTTGGTCGCCAATTTTCGCCAAAAAACGCCAAGTTACCATAATGTAAAGATCAAACAAAATGGCTTTTGTATGCATGTATTAAATTAACTGTATACTATATGCACATTTAATGAATTGCTTGTTATGTGTCAGTCATGGTCTGTTTCTTGCCAAAGCCACTATAACATAGAAGTATCAAATAAATATTACTAGACTAAAAATATAGAAGACCAAAGGAATTTTATTGAAATTTCTGCCAAAATATGTGAAAAATTTGTTAGTAGTTTTTTAACAAATAAAAATTTATTTAAGTTATTTTTTTAGTTTCAGAAAAGATCATTCCTGTTAAAGGAAAACCGAAGTCTGGAAGAGTTTGGAAAACTGAAAAAAACAGGTTTGTTAATAATATGCATGTAACTTTTCAAAAATTGCCTTTTCTCCTTTAACTAATATTAAATGTTGATTGTATTTTCTGCTACTGTTTCCATCAGAATTCATTTAGAGCAGAGCCCATTAGATTAGTCGCTGATCTATGCTGATTGTGACTCTAAGATTAAGCAGCATGTATAATAGATACTTTGAAAGTACCTATGAATTCAGGTAGGATTAAGGATTCATAGGTACACTGCTCAAAAAAAAAAAAAATGGGACAGTGCTATATCTCCCGTTCTACTGGGGCGATTCACGAAATTCAAATTGCGTTCTTCATGTCTCGAAAGCGCGACTTAGGATATATATTAGATTTATATATAGCACTATTCTAACATAGGTATTTTGACACAAAATCGGACTTTTTCTGAAATAACATACCAATTTTTTTACATATTTCGATTCTACGACTCAAATTATGCCAGAATACCAAGTTTTGTAAAATCGTACAAGTAGTTTTTGAAATATTAGCTCTCAAAATTTTAGCTCCTCAATGTTAATTGAATTTGGCAAATATTTATTTATCTATCTCTTTTTTTATTAAACTTTTTTTGATTTTTTCTCTCACATTTCGAAATTTAGGTTCATTCCAAATAAAATTTACCCATTTTTTGTGTTTTTATTTTTAAATTTTCTATTTTTAAATAATTTTTATAATTTTTTTCGAAAAAAATTTTGAATTATAACCTATAAAATTTTTACCATCATCTTAAGTAGGTATATTTTTAAAGCATATCTGCAAAAAATTAGACTTTTTTATTCAAAATTTTCTAAGATATACACAAATTTTTACATATTTTTCGCGTTTTGAAATTTGGCATCTTTTTTTTTTGAGCGATAATAACACCAAATGTGGTCTATGGATTTTTGTTACACTGTATTGCCACAGCTATTTTTTAACCTTAAATTTCAAGTAAAATTTTACGGAGAATTAATTATATGACATTTTTTCCCTCAATGAGCGTAATAAATATTTATTAATACTATATGAAAAGCTATTTTTTTAAATAAATTTTTTTTAATTTTCTATCTTTGTTTTTTTTTTTTTTTTTTTTTTTTTTTTTAAATAAGAGTAAATTTTTGTAATAGTAATTTTTACCTTTGGCGTTTTATCGTCTGCTACTTTACTTCGTTTAAATCGAATTGTCTAAAACTGAGAATTTTCGTTTGATGTTTATTTGAATTTTATGACATTAACTGCATAATTTATTTCTAAACAAACTGATTGCTTTTGAAGTGGCTGAAAGAGCGGCTGGTACTATTATCCATATTTTTAAAGCACAGTATATTTTTATAGAAACATAAGATTTAGAATAATCATTTTTATAAAAGTCAAATTATGATATAAATATACAACCCTCTAGAGACTGAATTAATGGAAGTTCAATGTTTATGTAGAAATGATCTGCAGCTACTACTTAATCGGCTGGATAAGTCAGCAGATTCTGTGGACAAGTAAGAATAATTATATAAACGACACCCAACATTCTGAATTCAATTAACACGAGGATACGATGTTTATTAAATGAATTCAAGAAGTTTTAAACATAAAAAATCAACTCATTTTTTATTCCTAAATGTATTTTTGTGCGTAGCGTATTTTCATTATTCTAATTTAAAATTCTAATTTTGAATGTAATTGTCAAGACTGATTCCTAATCATCAGTATATAATAAGTAATTATTACGGTTATTAATAAATCCTTCTTATAAAGTAATTGAAATATTTCAAAAAAAAACTTTCTGTCTGAATGCAAATATTTTTAATTTTATATTTAATCAAGATTGCACACCATATTATTTATTTGCACTTCAATTCTTAACGTCAGTTCTAGTAGAAGTTACAAATCAATTATATTTAATTAAGGATTGGATTGGATTATTTAATTATGGCAAAGCACACGAGGCTATCTGCCTAAAGGGAGGGATGCCTTCGTGGAGGACTTTCTAAGGGAAACTGGCTCGTATACACGTTACACATCGGGAAAACCACGAAAACACCCATGCAACCATCCCGTTCGCGGGATTCGAACCTCGACCGAACTACCAGTGATCAGCGACTTTTACCGCTCGGCCGTTTTGGGCCTTTATGAAATGGAAGGCGATAACTTTATTTAAAATGATTGTCAGAAATACCAAAATGTTTCGAAAAGTTGGATACTTTTTAATATACTTTCAGAATGCTTAAAGAAAAAGAGAAGAAAAATAAATTTTTTCGTAAAATTTAGTTATTGTATTTTTTTTAATTTAAAACTTTTTCAATCTTATGATATTTGATTCTTGCGATTTCAAAAATACAATATTTGACTAAAATATGAATAGCACATTTTAAGAAACCAAATGTAGATAAAAATTGTGTAAAGCAATGGCACAATGATAAAACTGTTTAAAGCAGTGTATGCAAGTCATCCTAAGTTAAAATGTCGGTTATACATCTCTCTATTTATACATCAAAATCTTAATTCAACACCCATAATTCGGAATGATCTATAATCCGTACCTCAAACTAAAAACTTTCTGCGCATGCGCCTGTTGACACATGCGCATAGCTTTTACGCGAGCGCGTAGACCTTTTACGACTGCGCTATAGTGTGCGCAAGTCAAATACGTTTTCCGCGTTTTAATGTTTTTAGTATAACGTATAAGGTAAAATTATCTAATTTCTATTTCAGTTAAATGTTGATGATTGCGTGTTCCTTATTTTCGAATTGGATCCGACTTTTTTTTTGCAGACTGTAGAGCATTTTATAAAGTAAGCTTAACTTTTCGATTATATCAAAAGAATTTCCGATATATATTTTGTTGATATGTAAGGATCTAAAAGCGAAAGTATGTTTTGAAATTCGAAATCTGTTTATCAATTTCACGCTGCTTGCGGGGGGATCGCCGCGGCGGGCGCGTATGAATTGGAAGTTGATCTGTCAACACTATCCTTATCTTCAGCGCAGATGTTTTTATATTTTATTTGGCTTTATAATTCCTTACCAAATATAGTATTTCATCTCGATATGCTCCGTCTTTGATATGATTTAAAACAAGTTCCTCGTCATTATAATTCGCTTTCGATAGCGAAGAAAGTGACAGAGGTTATTGAAAACGAAAAAATTTCGATTGACAATAATCGGTGTTCTAGACACAGCAATTATAGGACTTGAACAGCAGAACTTTGTAACTGAACAAAATTATGTCTGTTTAATAGAATTAAAGAGAAAGTATTATCACATGAAAACGAAGCAAAACTTAAACAACTTACATTGAAAGAAATGTTTAATAAAGTAAACAAATAAATATTAAGCTTTTTCTTTTTGCAAATTTTGATACCCTTTAGATCATAATTGTTCTTTATTTCATAAATTACGGTTTCATATTTTTAATTTTAGAATTTCTGCATGCCATCTTACGAGATTTAAACTGATGATCTATAATCCGGAAAAATCGATAATCCGGAATCGCCGAAGTCCCGACGAGTCCGGATTAACGACTTTTGACTGTATATCTTTTCTGAATGGAACATTGAAAGGCGTGTAAAACTGTGCTTTACTGTATTTTCTCTTTTAATATATGCAGTTTTTAAATGCGTCGTAGTCTGGGTCACAAAGAATTCTTCCGAAAAAAACGCAATTCAAACAAATAAAATTAACTTCTGGAAAATTTATTTTAATAAATATATTTAAAATGCTCAGTTCGAATAAATGAATAGAAAATTTTAAAACAATTCTCTGAAGACATGCAACAAAGAATTAAAAGTATAAATTTAAAAATGACCTAAATCTACTATGATGAAAAATAATAAAAAAACTATTTGAAAAAAATAAACCTGCACCTTTATTACGCAGTTCGAATAGGTAAAATAGAAATTTTTAAAACAGTTATTCGAAAAAAAAAAACTTGCAACTTAAACATTAAAAAATTCGAAAAAGAAAAATACTTAAAAGAATAAGTTTATAATTAAAATATAATAAAAGAATATTATTTGGAAAAAAGGAACGATGGTGACGTTTTTTCCTCCATGGGAAATGAACTAAGTTGCCATACGTTAAGAAGTTCGCCAAGTGAATTACTTGGCGCAACTGACAAAAAAGTGCCAACAAAATTTGTGAATTTCTCCGGAAATTTTGCTCCAAATTTTACAAATTTCATATTTAGGCGTAATTTGAGTCGTAGAATCGAAATATGTAAAATATTGGTATGTTATTTCAGAAAAAAAGTCCGATTTTGTGTCAAAATACTATGTTAGAATAGTGCTATATATAATCTAATATATCGCTAAGTCGCGCTTCGAGACATGAAGAATGCAATTTGAATTTTGTCCATCGGCCCAGTAGAATCGGGGATTATAGGACTGTCCCTTTTTTTTTTTTTTTTTTTTTTTGAGCAGTGTACTTAAGGATCGTGCCCTTCAATACTGCCTTCAATACTGCATTTAACATAACTTCATTTTCAAAATAGGTAAATCTTCATTATCAAAATTGGTAAATCTTCATTATCAAAATAGGTAAATTTATACGGGCCTGCACTAACAATAGGCGCACGATGGCGCCGATTCAAAAAGGCGCTGGACAATCATTAAATCAAACAGTTTGTATCGCTGCCTGTCTGAACAGGAAAATTCATGTCTTTTTTGAACACCCGTCCAGGAATCAACTTAGGTAAAACCTGGGAAGCTACTGATTAGATTCTGTACCTAAGTAGTCTCGGCCACGGTGTTTAAAATCAGCCCCCACAGGACTGGAGTTGTCACTGGTGATGGCTGTTTCAGGCTCTGCAGCAACCATATGGTACTGTCTTGTCCATTCTGTTGGTTGTAGTGGAGCTATATAGTAAGATATTCATGGTTTGCCCAGGGTGAAACACTTCCATTGATGGAGTTGGCGAATTCAGAGAGCCTTTAAACTGCTTAAGGTTTCCAGTGCATCTGGGGCCTCAAAACTGCATATTCATATCCTTCCTTGGTTTCCCTCTGGGGGCGGCTAAAGCTGACATCTGTATGCCACAACTTAGTGTTAGCAGGCTGGATTGGCTGCACGGTCTGTCTGACAGTGTTTAAATGACTTTCTTATGCTGTCTTGGGTTGGGGTCCCTGTTGATGGCAGATGTTTTTACCATCCCTCCAGAACAGGGACATGGAATGCGAGTTGCTGAGTAGTCTGTCGACTCAGCTTAGTCTTAGCTCGTCTACTGAACCAATAGGTTAGCAGCCTTTTGAATTGCCTTTAGGGGTCGAGGCGTTTAACTGTGTTATGGCGCCCTCGAGCTTGCCAGCTGTTAGTGTCAGTGTCCTCTCCTAGCACACTGTCTTATTTGGCCAAGAGTTATAACCAGGGCGGGATTTCGTCTCTGGTGTTCTCTTCTGTCTTATTTTAACGTGCAAATACTTGATGCCGATGCATATGTAAGGGTAGATGCATTCGACAAATTTCTTAATCCTTATTTTGTGTCTACTGTTGCAAACATAGTAATTTGTGCAATATTTATCTTTTTTGTGATTGCTTGCTATTATTGTTTTTCTACATTAAAAAAAAAAAAAAAAGGTAAGTGCAGTTACATAGTATGTTAAACTCAAGTTAACTTTTTAATTTGGAGAAGTAGCGATTTGAGCATAATTACTCAAAAACTGTTTAGCTTTCATGTTTGAACCATTGTCGTATTCTTGGCTTCATAAATTACTAACATCTAAACCATTTTCCCCTAAGGTCTTTCATAAGAACGTTACGCATCTGTTGTAACACAAAATACTAAAAACCTTTCTTCAATACTCATGTCTGTATTTTCTAAATTAAAATACCTCATACAAATTAATACTATCTGCTCTTGATGGCTGGCATCAGGGGTACAATCAAGTAAAATAGAAAAATACTTTGCCTGTTTGACCTTATTTAAAATAATTTGCTTTGTATTATTCCCTAATAAGCTAATTATTTTATTTTTATTTTTATCTCCAAGCATATGTTTTTAGTTTGAATTTTATTAATATATACAGACATGATAGGGTCAAATATTATGATCATTTCCATACACTTTAAAAAATTATTATTTCTTTCAAATAATTTGTTACTAGAACCACACAAGGCTAAGATTTGTTTGGCTAAAAACTGAATGGCATAGATAATTCTTTCAATAACATTGCGCCAAGGCTTGGTCTCTATTTTAATAAAATTTGAAATTCCAAATTAACAAGTTTATTTTTTCGTAATCATTCTAGGAAATCGGATTAACTCTTTCGTTGTCATGGACTTGGGCATAATCCAGAATCATCAGGCACAGGCAAATGCGTATCTATTGCAGAAATTGCAAATTTTAATAGTATTTCTTCTGTTTTTTTGACCAGCTGCTTTGAAGTTAAAGGTAATTCTCGGATGAAAACGCTTTCTACACTCTTTCTGATTATTAAGTTCTTTTGTAATTTCAATGGTAGCTGAGACATTGATGAATAACTAGTGCTAATAGCGTCAGCTTGGGTATTCTTTGGGTTTTAGAAAAACTGAATAATTTTAAAGTTCTGGTTTATTAAATCTTCCTCTAGCCTTTTTTTTTTTTTTTTTTTTTTTTTTTATTTTTATTTTTACATTCTGATATTCAAATTTTTTTTTTTTTTTTTTTTCCCCCTCCTGTTTTTCTGTTTTTCTTCCAACATCTAGGGAAAAATAAAAACAGAAAAAGTGGAAAATAACTATTATAAGAACTATTGCGTAAAAACACTTCTTAAAAATATTCAGAAAGTCACTGTTTGAAATAATTTACCTTACTTCTGAAAAAGTGAGTATATCTTAAACCATTACTTGGAAAATATATGAATTATTAGATCAATACTAAATAATTCAAGAAGGGAATAGTACTCTTTTGTTTATTAAAGTAAATAAATCAAATTTAGAGACATAATGAAACTAACGAAACGTTTTCCTTCAGTTTTTCCGTGTAGCCAAAAATCAGAAAATGGCCAATTTTTGATTTCAGAATACCTTGTATATTTTTACTCGACTCCAAATCTCAAATGGGTATATTTTAAATTCTGTGGTTACTAAACTACTTCGTAAATATGCCAATCCTTTCTTGAAAGATAATAATTTTTAATTTAATAAACAAATGGTTCATGTAAACAAAAAATATATTTTTCGAGTAATTATGCTCAAATCGCCACTTTTCTGAATTACAAAGCTAACCTAAGTTTGGCATAATATGTAACTGCACGTACCTTTTTTTACGTAGAATAACAAGCAATCCCCCCCCCAAAATCACAGAAAAGATAAATGTTGCCCAAATTACTACTATTGCAACAGTAGAACAAAATAAGGACTAAGAAATTTGTCAAACGAGTCTATGGCAGCCCCGTACCCTTACATATGCATTGGCATCATGTATTTTGGTTCACATATATTTACAAGATCAGCTCAACTTATGTCAAAAACTGCAAAAAGCATTAACTGATAAAAAAGCAAAGTGATGTAAATAGTATAGGTCTTGCATGACCTGGAAATATAGCATCGCCAGTTGAAACTCTGAGCTATATCGTTGTCAACAACATAGCGGTGTGCAGAAAAGAATTTTGGATATATCCCTAGATATCAGCCCTAGAGCATTTTTTATGCCCTGTTGTAATCACAGTTTGAACCTTGTAAACTACGCTGCGAACAAGAATTTATTCAGTGCAAACTTATCAGATATATATATATATTAGTTTATTTTTAATTTTAAGACAATAAATAGTGTTCAGGAATATATTTGGTATGCAATGCGTTTAGTATATTATTTCGCTTCGCTTGCAGTGTTACTTTTTTTGTAACATGTTGTTGTTGACTAATGCTCACTTGTCTGGCCTATAGTCAGCCAAAGCCCACAAAGTTCTTTGTGGCAAGGATCGTAAGATACGCCGGTCGTTGGCAACCAGCTTTTAGCACCTTATAGGTTACAGTGCGATTTAACTCAGTTTCACCCCCAATTTTGATGGAAATCACCCTGGGGGGGACAGGTCCGAGTGTCTCCTACCACCAACCTTTCAAGAGGACTTTCGCTTCGCCTATTTAGAGTGCCCCCTGCCGCACGGACATTTGCAAACATCTATATCTTTTCCAGGATTCGAACCCGAGGCCTTTGCATGGCAGTCAACAAGGCTAGCCACAGTACCATTTGGGCGGCTTTTTATAACATAAATTAATGTATAATTCTTCAATGAATATGTTTGAGTGTGGTTTTTAACAAAGCACAAAATGTTTGCATATTTAGACAAATTATAATATATATATATTTGATTCTTCATATTATTATGTTATTAATGCTTCATTTTAAATGTTAATCATAAGCACAGTCCCTTTAATATCTTCACTACATAAAGGTGCTCACTAGACATTTGCATGACAGCACTGATTAGGTTTGACGCGGGCCTGAATTTATATCCCCATGCATCTTTTGGTATTGTTGGATCTTCATACATATAAATTATTTTCAGCTTATCTTAAGTAATTACAGCTCAGTGATGAAATCTCTCAATTCTGGTAGCTCAGTTCAGCTTCAAATCCTGGTGAGCAACTGTGAGCTCTACAGTGTGTAATAAAGCTGACAGAGATATTGTGGGTATGATTTAAGAAAGAAAAATTTGTGTAGAGTAGCTGATGTAGATGACATTGGCATGCTAACAGAATCAGAATTGTGAAATGTTGTAGATTCTCTTGATGAGTTCCAAAACTGAAAAATGAATATATCAAGTTATCAAGAATTTTAAGTTTTGCATTATTCTGCTGAAAAATACTAAACAATATTATATTAACAATGCTTTTTAAAAATGGTTGATGGAATGAGTATATTTGACTTTTGTTTATTTAGTTGTAAATAATTCATATATATTTATTTTTAATTTTATTGTTGAAATTAGTTTCTGTTATTTTTAATGTAAAAAACAAATTGGTTTGAATTTTTTAAATGTCTGAATGTGATTTTCTGCTTAATATCATGAAAAAAAGGCTAGAATAAATGCGAATTACATCAACCAGTCAAAACTGCAATCACTTCTATTTTAGGTTTATTTATTTATTTTTTATTTTAATAAAAAATTCGTAGTTCACATTCTGTGAATAAATTTCATGCAAATTAACTATAATTAATTTTATCGTGTATTAGATATTTTTTTATCTTAATTGTAATTTAAAATAGGATTATAAGAAAATAGTGTTTGCATTTAAAATTTCCAAAACCTTTTAGATTTTCAAATATGTGCCAAGTTAAACCTCTTAAAACATCTTGGGAAAAAAAGCTAAAGCTCCGTCAAGAACGAGAAACCATGTTGCGGCATGCTGCTGAAATAAGAGAAGAGAAAGAAAGAGAAAAACAAGTTTGTAAACTCTTATTTAATTTTTTGTAAAACTACTTAGGCATTTTATTATAAAAAAATATCATGTTAATTCTTTTTTAAAAAAAATTTTGTTTCCTTTTTATTTTTGATGTTCAGTTATATACATACATACATATATATATATATATATGTATATATACTGAACTGAATATATATATATATATATGTTATAATGTGCTTATCTTTATACAGATGCGCAAGGAAAAAAGAAGAGAAAAAATAGAGAGGAAGCGTGAAAATGAGAGAAAGAGTGAAGTTGTACAAGTTGTAAGTTTCAGATTATAAATTTCACATAATAAATTTTTTATCTCTAATTATGTTATTTTATGATAATTTTTCTCCTAAAGATTTTAAGCCAATAAATGAAGCTGTGTTCAATCGACTTTCCAGCAGTACTGAATTTTTTATTCATTTCTAGTAAAGTACTAAGAATAAAATTTAAATGATGCATACCTTTATTATAGGATTCATCATTCAATAGTGCTGAAGTAGTACTTTCATAATACTGTGAAATATTCTGTGTAACACTGAAACTCACAAGGAGTTAGGGAGACCTGTCTATATTAATACAGTACAAAGTCCGAAATCCGGACTCGTCAGGACTTCGGCGATTCCAGATATTAGATCATCAGTTTAGATCTAATAAGATGGTATGTAGAAATTATAAAATTAAAAATATGAAATCATGATTTATGAAATAATGAAGTATCTAAGGGTATCAAAATTTACGAAAAAAAGCTTAATATTTATTTCTTTACCTTATTAAACATTTCTTTCAATGTAAGTTGTTTAAGTTGCTTCGTTTTTTGTGCTAATACTTTCTCTTTAATTCTGTAGACAGACATAATCTCTTGTTTAGTTATATTGTTGAAGTTCTGTAACTGCTGTTTTGAGAATTCTGACTAACTTGTTGATCGAAATTTTCTCACTTTCAGTAACTTCTCTGTCTTTTTCTTCACTATCGGTAGTGGTACTTTCTATCTAGAACCATATACAAATTTCGCCATTCATTATTTGATTGATGATTGAGAAGCATTGTCATCACAATGAAAAACTTCTTCTATATCATCTTCATTTATTACTACTTCTCCACATTTCTTTACAAAATCCGTTAATTGAAAAATTTCACCTTTGTTTTACGATATCCCCAAACCTTTAAAATTAGCGGCTATCGTCATCAAATTTAGCTATTCTTCACTATACATATTTGGCTATGCATCATGAGCTTGGCGACTAACTGCAAGTTGTTCCATTAAATTTTGTCTTGCTTCTATCGTGCACTGAGACAATTAAGCCTGAATTGTATTAGTTTAGTTATTTATTGCACATGCTTTTAAAGCTTATCAGAGTTATGAATAAATAAATTCCCACCATATACTTAAGCCATATTGAGGGCAGGTGCTAGATATCTTATCGCCTGATGCAGTCTCTGTGGGTCCTAAATTCTGTTACTCGGTCAGCCATACAAGCCCTGGCGCTGGTTCTGGGTTTATGTGAATAACAAATCAGTTATTCTTAAATCAAATTGCCCTAAATGTTATCTTTGGGTCTATGAGTATCATCAAAAAAGCTCTTTTTAGCATATGGAAAGAAATTTTTGATAAATTTTGCCGTCAACATTTTTTAACGCATTTAACTTAAATCTGTAATCATCGCCAAGCATAATGTCAACATAAAAGGTTACCATACTCCTTTATTATTCAGTTACTAACATAAAAAAATTGTTTAGGCATCACTACATGAGTTATTACTCAAGTTGTCATGTTTTGATAAACATGCGGTGATGAAAGGAAAGTATAATAAATAATGATTCGCCAGGTTGACATCAGATCAACAATGTATCTATGTGGAATGTTTTGATACGCAGTAACAGAGCTAAATTATTGATCATAGAAATTTATGCTAAAATAATTGTTTCTTCAATGACAAGGTATTTTATGTAGTGTCGAAGTGAAATTAAGAATCGGGACTCTCCAGATGTTTTATTATGTGCGGAGGGGGGAATCAACTGCACATGCGTAAAGCCTATGAGAAAAATTTTGTTGGTGGTTTTGAAGTCCAGATTTTAGATCATTCCGGATAATGGATGTCTGGATTTCGGACTTTGTACTGTACTGTGTTTACTCATATATTTCCCAACTATTCTTAGAAATTTTATTGCTTCAAAACCAGGAGGGGAATAATTTATTTCTTAAAGACACAATTTAAATGATGAACATAGCACATTGAAAAGCATGTAATATTATTAGGTACTTGAGTATTTATACAACTACAGTGGCATAATTGACTTTTTACACATATAAAAGTTATCAGGTGCAAAGTTACTTATTGGTGGTTTTATTAATTTTGTTTTTAAAAAGATTACCAAACTACTATTTACCTTTAAATTAGCAAGTATTATCTGAATATGAGAAGAAGACATACTTTAGCAACTTAAAATACAAATTTTAATTATTAAATAAGGATTACATGATACGTTAAAAAAAATAAAAACGTGTTTCTTCAAATCTTTTAACCTTTAATTTTATATGTTCATAAAAAGTACTTAGGTGAGTTTCATTATTTCTCTTCTTCCTTGTTGTGAATTTACAGTTAAAATAAAATTTAAAATGATTCTTTTTACTTTTTTAGATTCGAAATTCTGCTAAAATAAAAAGGATGTCCAAGAAACAGTTGAGGAAGATAGAGAAACGTGATACAAATCTCACGCCAACATGATTTTGTAATTATACTAGAAATGTTGATTATTAAATATATTGTTTTACTTCTGTTGTATCGTTCCATTACATATTTAGTTATTAACTGATAGTTATAGAAGCTATATAAAAAAGGATAATGATTTATTTAGATAGTCATCAGGTAATTTATGTATATATTTTATTAGGCATTTGCAGTTTATTTAGTTAATATCATAAATGTATGATTTCTCCTGAAAGTTATAAAAGTAATAAAAAAATTATCATTGAACATCCAGGGAATTGCTTTTTACACTTTCAAAATAGACATCTTGCTTTAAAATTCAGCGAACATTGCATAGCAATGGATAAAATTGTTCTTTGCAATTGCATAATCCCAAAATGCTGTACTCTGAAATGGATTTTAAACACGTGGAGTATAAAAAATAACTCGTAATTAAGATTATGCAATAATTAAAGAAATGACTTAACCTAAAATTTCCTCATGTGCAATAGTATGTGATATAGTGTATTGTAATAGGGAAGTAACCTGTTTTATTTTTTCTCTAATACTTAAAGCTATGTATGAACATAACTGCTAACTCTCCTGGTTTTGCCCGGAAATGCCTATTTTTCTTCACATCTCTTGGTTTTTAATGTTTAGCCTTAACTAAGGAAAATATTTCCCAACAATGCATGAAATTGTTTAAATTAGTTAAACTTTACTTCGGAAAATTCCATTCTTCCACCTGGACCAGAGGTTGTGCAGATTTCAAGACAGAAAAGGAAAAGCATAATATTCGGACTAGAAGTGCAAAATAAATAAGGTGTATTAGATACATTTAATTAAATTATTACATACATTATTGCAATAATTAATTATATTCATTAAATTATTATTACATATATAAATTGATTATATTATTCATTGTATTATATGTACACAGCATCGAGGTTTGCCGGTTTCGCCTCATGCAAAGATTTCTGGTGTTAGAATCACTGTTACTGTAAAATTTCAACAGCTTTTCTTTATTTTTCCGTATATCATACACAATCGTGTCACAATTCCATACTATTCTGTTATAAATCGAGGAGTAGCACCTGCTGTCATCTTTTGCGGAATTTGCACCTTTTCGCGTTACCGTCAATGCAACGTTTTTACGTTTTTTAACGTTGCAAGCAGTAAAATCATAAGTGTGTTTCTTATCTGTCATTATATTAAAAAGGGCTGAAATTTAAAATATTCTTAATTTATCCACAAAATATCAGGATAAAAAAAAAGGCAGCACTAAACAATCTCGTAAAATAACAAAGCTCAGAAAATACAACCTGAATCGTGAATTTGAAGAGTTGAGTGAATCATCTGCTCTTTTACCTCGATGCAGAGATTAGAGAGAGAAAATTTTTATCTTATTTTTTTTTATGTCATTAATTTGGTATTTCCGTTATGACTCATTATTATTCGGTAATTATGACGTCATTATTCAGTAAGTATTTTTCTTCGATATTTCGTACTCAATGTTGCGTTTTCCGGAACCTACAAACTGAATGTTTATATTTTGAGAGGCAACGTGGATTTTCGGTATTTGACTGTACTACGTACATTGATTATTAATTTTATTTTCATCATATTTAAAAGTACTTTGATAAGTAAAAGCATTCCTTCGCAACTCAGAATTTTCTCAGTATAAAAATGTAAGAAAATAAAAATAGCCAAAGAACATAAAATTTAAAATATCTAATTACATCAGAATTAAATTACAAATAGTTCAGTAACCTGAACCCTGAATTATAAAGTGAATTAAAATCAGTTTGTGTTCCTCTGAAATGGCTTCACTAGGCAGCCTACCAGTTTTTAAGATTTCAAGGTTGGCAGTTATGGTACGAGTCGCATTGTTCTCATTTCATGAAGTTAAAGAAAATGCTTTCCTTTCTCGCCATGAACACCTTATAACACCTGAAGGTAAAAGAGCACGGTACTTAATTTTAATCATCTGAAATTTCGGCCTGTCTTTACGACTGCCATTTTGAGTGTGAATTAGTATTTTGGGGGAATATCTTTAGCAGTTCACTGATGTATATGGTTATCTTTTGAATGGGTTATAAATGGTTCCTTTTTCTAATATAATAAATGGTAGGATACTCGAGTTTCTAAGCAAGAAGTGAAACATAAACATTTTGAAATTCACTTTTTCTGATGAAGAAATTTTCGCTTTTGGTGATGTGAATTCTTTTATTTAATGGTTCTAAATTTGGCGATTTTAAGATCAGTTTATATAGAAAATTTTTAATTCTGATATCTGGGAATTTTTCAGTGATTTTTTTAAAACAGTGTAACATTGATAAATTTCATTAAAATAATGGTAATATATTGAAATTATATTTAAAAACTAACATTAAAATAAAACGTTTTTATTTTTCTCTGTCATATTATAAAGTTCCATTTTAGCAACTTATTATATAATACACTGCTCGTCATTGAAAATGCAACACCAAGAAAGAGTGGTCAGAAATTTATGCAAATTTTAGAATAGACGCACGGCACTGAGTTCTGCGAATGATGTGAAATGTGCAGCTCTTCGGCGCACGTGAAGTAAGATATAAGGGAAGGAATGTACAGAAGGGGCGATATTCGTGTCGTTATTTCTGCCAGATGGAATTATCCGAAGAAAGTTGGTTTTTGTCCTGGAGGATACGTGTAATAGAAGAGAATGCCAGGCCACCGTCAACGAAGGCACTTCCAGCAGATAGACGATTTTACGAGGGGTATGGTGATCGGACTGAGAAGGGCGGGTTGGTCCTTATGTCAAATCGCAGCTGATACCCACATGGATGCGAGCACGGTGCATCGGCTATGGCGAACATGGTTGGATGTGGAATGTGGGAAGAAGGAGTGGTGCAGGTACAGCCACAGTGACATCAGCATGCGTGGATCATGGACCTTATAAGAAATAGACTAACCCAAATGGCTTTTCTCCCTCTTCTGACGCATTCCCGGCTGTCACCTTGATCCCATCCGGAGGAGTAGGGACAACTTGGGATATGGTGATCGGACTGAGAAGGGCGGGTTGGTCCTTACGTCAGATCGCAGCTAATACCCACATGGATGCGAGCACGGTGCATCGGCTATGGCGAACATGGTTGGAAGAAGGAGGGGTGCAGGTGCAGCCAGAGTGACGTCAGCACTCATGGATCGACGGATTAGCTGTGGCGGTCCCGCAAGTCACTTGTACCGCAATTCTACAGCATGTGCGCGATACCCTGGATGTTCCCGTGTGGACCAGAACCATTTCCCATCGATTGGTTGAAGGGGGCCTGCACTCACGGCGTCCGTTAAGAAGACTGCCATTGACCCCACAGCATAGACGCCAACGTTTAGGATGGTGCCGGACTGGAGCGATGTGGATGACAGAATGGCGAAACGTCGTGTTTTTAGATGAGTCACGCTTCTGTTTATCCAGTGACAGTCGCCGCCTAAGTGTGTGGCGTCGACGTGGAGACATATCTAATCCGACAATAACTGTGGAATGCCCCATCACGCGACTACATGGCATAATGGTGTGGGGCGCTATTGCCTACGATTCCAGGTCACCTCTAGTTCGTATTCAGGGGACTATGACGACCCAACGATACTTGGATAATGTACTGCGGCCGGTGGCAATCCCCCTACCTTCAGGGGCTGCCTAATGCAATTTTTCAGCAGGATAACGCCCGACCACACAGTGCTCGCATCTGCCAACATGCTCTGCAAGGTATGCAGATGCTTCCCTGGCCACCGTACTCTCCTGACTTGTCACCAATCAAACGTGTGGGATGTGATTGGAGGTCGTTAGCAGACTCTGCCCCAGCCTCGTTCAGAAGACGAATTGTGGCAAATGGTTGAAAGGAAATGGAGAGCCATCCCTCAGGACACCATCGCACTCTTACTCACTCTATGTTTAGACGTGTTTCTTCACGCATCGCTGTCCGCGGTGGTCCTACATCCTACCGTGCCGACGCCGTTCTCGCTCTGTATTCTGACTATCATTTTGAAATGAAGATAACTTATTGCTGCTTACTGTCTCTGTCCTTTTTCCAAATTTCATGACTTTCTGTCCACTCCTTCTTGGTGTTGCATTTTCAATGTTGAGCAGGGTATTTTGAATCTAGTAAATAAACCAGGTATAATGCGCAAAGCACAATTTATGAAACGGTTCTTAGCAAAAGCAAAATTAACTATGTAATTAATTAAAAATGTCTTCTTTTTAATTTTTTCATAGTAAGAGTTTTTCCCATGTTGTGGAAATTATTTTGATTAATTGATAGATGGCGCTAGCGTTGCGTATTAACGCGACGCGACGTGCCTTCTGAATTTCCCTAGACTCTCCACCGGCAGTTCGATGGATGGATGTCTCAGGACTTAGAAGAGAAGGGCTAGCTCATAAAGCTTTTCCCCCTGAAGCAGAAAGTGAGAAGTGATGACGTAGTCATGATGACACTGAGCGCGCAGATGCAATTCACAGCTTGAAAATTAGCGATTTTGAACTAGCGTTTGAAATAAGCTGTGTGTGAAAGATAGCTATTATTTGGAAGAGACAATGTTACTGCTTTATGCATTTTAGACTGAACCATTAAAAAATTAATAATACTTACTCAATTTTAAATATAGATAAAATGTGCTACTCTTTTAACATAAGTTCCGTGGTTTTTTTTTCAATTTTTTATTTGCCAGGTTTTTTATTTAGTGAACGTTTATTTCTAATCATTTCTTATCTGCATGTGAACTGAGAGAATTTTTATACTGCTTCTAAGATACTATAATGCAGCTGTTTAAATTTACTCGAAAAACAATTTTACATTGACATAGTTTTTAAACATATATGACATATATGGCAACATTTCTGCTAACCTACGTTTGATTTTTTGCCTAATTTGTAAATTTTTACATTGTTATAATTCTCTTCCGATTCAATATAATAATTTTTAAATAATTTGTAATTTATACTTATATCTATATTACAATTAAATAAATGTATAAGATTTGTTACCTTAATTTTGACAAAATAGCTTTTACTTAGAGTACCTAAACAGTTATTTAATTTTTCAAAAGTGTG